TACTACTACTACTACTACTACTCCTAGTGCTAGTACTAGTACTAGTACTAGTACTTCTACTACTCCTACTCCTACTCCTCCTCCCGCAGAATCCATTCGGGCCGCTGTGGAGCGCCAAACAGCGGTTCTCGCGAAAAAGCGGTGTCTTTCTTCGCAGGAAGAAGAGAAGGAGGAAGAAGAAGAGGCGCATCCGTCTCGTTTCGGTGCACGGGATGGAGAGATGGCGCCCGCACATGAGAGAGGGTGCCAGGGACTCGCTTGAGTGGTGCAGGGTTTCTCCGCTTCTCTTGCTTCTGAAACCCGACTGTCAGAGTGACAGAACTCTGGGGTTTGGTTCTTTGAGAAAGGCCTACACGGCATGACGTTCATGGTGAGTCATGGGATGTTCATTTTGGTTCACAACTGCTGAACATCACAACATCATGCTCTGAGCTTGATGCACTTTCCAACCACTCAACAAAAGATACACTCCCTGAAATCATCATGGAAGTAGAAAACCACTTTCATGATTATTTATTCTAGGGAGTGTACGACCCTCAGATTCACAAGACGAAAAGGACAGCGGCTCAAGATGCTTTTTGTTCTCAGCCCCCCATCGCACCCTCTGACACAGCATCCAACATCCAAACTCTTCCATAATTATCAATAATTAACCTCCTTCACAAGGGTTACTTCTACTACACCCCCGAAAGCTGACATACCGCTTTGTGTGGTCGCAACATAGCTTTGACTAGGCACAGTTGCCGCTTCGTAAGTCTTCAGGGACCCCTTCCTCTTGGCACCTCGCCCCCGCGAGGAGCTCTTTGTGGGAGACTTGGTGAAGATCAGCGGCGTCAGCGCCGATGTCCGGAAGGTGCGGGTCTGAGTCCGTGTCTGCTGTGTCTGCCTGAAGAGTCGGTCGCAATGCCGCAGGGAAGAGTCCATACCCTCATTTGAGGTTTGTTCTCCACTATAGTTCCTTTAGCGGGGGAGAAGGTATGGCGGCATAGATATATATATATATATATATCAGTGATGGCCAAATTCCATGAGTTTCGGACATCTATATCCAAGTGTGTTCACTTCAGACTGGGCCGCGAAGATCTCTCCGATCGCCCTTCCAGACGGGGTGCACGCGCTGTAGGCGCTGTCGCACGTGGGCTTGTCCTGGGAGTCCTCCATGAGCGCTTTCTTGGGGCAGACTGGACGAGTGAAGACTGTGCAGATGAAGGAGGGCAAGCAACTGGTGGAGGCCCTCAAGCTTCGGCGCCATGCGCGTCCCCACTGGTGAGGGAGGTTCTGGGTGGCCGTTGGATGGCCTTTGCGGGCGAACACGTTTTGGGGGATTTTGTTTGTGAAGGTCGTTGAGAAGGTATGAAGCATGAGGGCTTGACGAAGGCCTGTGAAAGTACTGGCTGCCTTTTTGGCGGAAGGAAGAGAGTCAAAGAGAGGCAAGCGCATGAGATTCCAAAATTCCCAGCCAGTCAGCTGTCTACAGCTCGTGTTTTGGCTAGCTGGGCCTATGGGAAGTGCCAGCTGGAGGGACTTGCTTCTTTCGGGGGGCCATTTCCTCTACCAAATTGGGGCTTGGTCACTACGTGAGGTCCTTCGGAAACAAGTATATAATCGCATTGGTGTTCTTCTTGATTCTCAAACAATTTAACAAACTGTTGAGGTTCTCTCCGCTGGCCAGGCCAGGACGCTGGCCACCGTGTTTGGCCACACCCCTGAACCCTGTGTCCCGGTGTCGTCCTGCTGCCGTTGTCCTTTTGCCGTCCTTTGTCCGGGCTGGCGAACCCTGTGTCCTTCTCTTGTCCCTCCTGCTGTCCGAACGCTGGACCACCGGAATTCCAGGAATTGACGCCAAAAACAAGCTGAAACTGTTCGGGGTCTATGCTGGCATAAGGCTACCTTTTTTGAGCAAGCAATCCACACGTCATTGCTCCAAATGCAGACACTTTGGTTTCTGCTCCTCATAACCATAACCTTGCGCGTTTTCCCTTCGCATCAGGTTCAGCTTGGATCTGGTGCAGATGGTCCAAGCATGTCCATTGGTGTCTCAGCGCTGGAACTGCTGGGTGATGAAGAGGAGGAGGATGAGGCACGACGTGACGTCACTGGCCCAGGCTTCTCTCTGACAGGGAATGGGGGGAACTGAACATGGGGAACCCCAAACGCCCGTGGCTTTGGGTTTAATTGTTTTCAAGAAGAGACAGCTTCTTGGAAACCATAGAAGATTCATCTGGATTTCAATGTCCTTTGTTTCTGTTAAG